TTTTGCATTTTCTTTTTCCTTCCATTCAACTGCATCTGATTCTTGGAGACTGCCTGGAGAAATCCCTACACTTTTCCTGGCAAAGGTTTTTCAAAAATGGTTTGCCTCCTTCCCAGGGCTAAGGGAAAGTGACTAGCCCAAGGTCTGACTTTAAGTGACTTTGTGCCTAAGGCAAGACTAGAATTCAGTCTCCTAGTTTTTAGCCTGATGCTTTAACCACTACACCAGACTGGTTCTCAAAGTTTCTTTAATTATTTAGAAAAACAACCCCAAAATTATAGTCATGTGATAAAAAAAGTACACCCTCTTTGAGCTCTATGGTTTTATATATCAGAACATAGTGAAAATAATCTGGATTTAGCAGTTCTTGAAATTAGGTAAATACAATGTCAGATGAACAATAACGTATGACATATTATATTATGTCATCATTTATATTACAAAAAGAAAGCCAGAATGGAAAAGCCATGCATGAAAAATTAAGTACACCCTTACTATTTCCATAGATATGAAAACACTAAGCAGGAGCCAAATGCTGCTAATCAAGTGTCCTTGATCAATTGATCATAAGCAAGTGGCCTCTTAGGATTCAATAGCTTGTAGAACCACCTTTAGCAGCAATCACTTGAAGTAATTGTTTTCTATATGACTTTATCAATCTCTCACATCATTCTGGAGGAATTTTGGCCCACTTTTCTTTACATTGCTTCATTTCACTGAGGTTTGTGGGCAATTGTTTATGCAATTATCTTGAGATCCCGCCACAACATTTCAATCAGGTTGAGATCTGAACTTTGGGGCCATTACAATAACATGCGATGACCCAGGGCATGGCACAGAGGTCACACAGGCAGCTGGAAGTTCAAACTGCCCCTTTATTGTTCCAAATTCCCCCAAATGCTCCCATATATCTGGCAAGTCCAAGAACAAAGTGATCTCTCTCTCTCTCTCTCTCTCTCTCTCTCACACACACACCTCCAGTAGCCTTTGGCTGCAAGTAGTCCAGCACAGCTACAAAGTAAGAATTCCAGCAGGGCAAGTCAAGGAGTTCATGAAGCAAAGGATCATGGTAAATAGTCCAGAAAGCCAGAAAGAATGCAAGGAATTCAGAAAAGTTCAAATGTCAGCAACGGCACTCAACATTCCATGAATTCAGCATTTGTTCCTGACAAATGCCGCTCCCCACAGCATCTCAAGTCTCAATCCCCAGGTGTGCCTTGTGAAGAGGGGCAAGGCGCTCTCCTCCCGAGTAGTCAGCTCAGTCTGCATTGTTCTCGCCTTCTATCCACTCTCCATGCTCAAGGATCTGGAAGGGGTGGTCCTTGCTCATCACCTGAGCTGTCTCTCATGTTCACTGCTTAGCCTTAGTCATCCTGCCCCCCTTCCTCCCTGCCTACAAACTGTCCCAATCTAGAAAGGCCCTGGTCTGATTGGCCCTGCTGTTCCCACCTTCCTCCGAAGCCAATGACACCACTCCCTCAATCTCTGTTGGCTCCAGTTCCAGCTTGTCTTCCTCTGCAGAATCAAGCTCTGACAGGGGCATGACATGTTTACTCTTTTCTTTTTCAGCCATTCTGTTGTAGACTTGCTAATGTGCTTGGGGTCATTGTCCTATTGCGTGACCTAATGTTGGCCAAGCTTTAGCTGTCGAACGGATGGTCTCACATTTGACTCTAGAATACATTGTTATACAAATGAGTACTCTAGAATACTGTTATACAAAGGTTGACTCAAATCCTGCAAAGTGCCCAGCTCCTATAGTTGCAAAGCAAGCCCAAGTCATCACCCTGCCACCACTATGCTTCATGGTTGGTATGTTTGTGCAAATATGCTTGTTTGTCTTTGCCAAACATGCACTACATAAAATGGCCAAACATCTTCACTTGGGTCTCATATGTCCAAATGACATTGTTCTAGAAGTCTTGTGATTTATTCAGATGCAACTTCGCAAACCTAAGCTATGCTGCTGTGCGCTTTTTAGAGAGAAGAGGCTTTATCCTGGTAAACCTTCCAAACAAACCATTGTTCCGTCTTTTTCTAATTGAACTGTCATAAAATTAAACATTTAATGTGCTGAGGCCTGTAGAGCATGAGATGCAATTCTTGGCTTTTTTGCAATTTCTCTGAGCATTGCATGGCCTGCCCTTGGGGTAGATTTGATGGGACATTCATTCCTGGGAAGACTGAAATTGTCTTGAATATTTTCTACTTGTCAATAATCTGGACTTTAAATTGTTTAGAAATGGTTTTATAATCCTTCCTAGATTGATGGGCAGCAACAATTGTTTCTCTTAGATCACTGTTGGTATCTTTCGTCTTTGGCACTGTGTAAACACACTCCCCAATGTTGGTGACCAGCAAACTCCTAAAAGTTTGGCTGTAACTGATGATCAGAGGTACTTGATTAGCAGCACTTGGCTGTTACTTAGCTTTTTCATACCTATGAAAGCAGTAAGGGTATACTTAAGTTTTTATACATGGCTTCTCCATTTTGGCTTTCTTTTTGTAAAATAAATGACATGGTGTAATGTCATGCACTGCTGTTCATCTGATGTTGTATTTACCTAATTTTAAGAACTGCAAATAACAGATTATTTTTATTATGTCCTGATACATAAAACCATTGAACTCAGAGGGAATTGACTTTTTCACATGACTCTAGATAAGATCCAAAATGGTTGATTTAGAAAAATACCTTTAGAACATCTAGAATTAACCAGAAGCAAAGCTATAAAAACCCTAAGATGAAATTTACAAAGTAATCACACTGTAGTTAAGAGTACTGTATTCCATCATATTATAATAATCTGCTAGCTGCACTTAGTACTGATGGAGACACGCTTATATTCCTTCATTTCCATTTTGTCTTCTACTTTTCCCCACTATAATCAGTTGGGGAAATAATTCAAAATTCAACCAAGTGATTGGTCTGAATTCCTCCTGGGTTGAAAGAATATTAAAAATGATTAGTAAGCAGTATATTCATTTTAAGGCTTTTCGGAAGTACATTCTGGCAATGAAGGATGAGAGATACATGAAATAGCCCTTTCAAGTTATTTTCAGCTATATGGTCCTAACAACAGTGTAATGCTGGTTTTATATATACCTTCAGTTATTGTTTTTTTTTTACTGCAATTATCTTATTCTAGGTTGCTTGGCCTAAGGTCCTGATAGGAGCCTACTATGTTGGGGGTGGCTGGGTAGAGAAGATCTCCACTCCAGACTACACATCATCTTGGTTTTTAGCTTTTCTATTTAATTCTTCTAATTTTAGTTGTTTTGTACTTTTTAACTTTTTATCATATTGTAAGCCACACAGAGTAACTGCATCAGTAAGAAATTTAATAAATAAAGGCAATCTGGCTTCAATTACTAAATTAAGCTTTATTCTGACTCCTCTTGTTTACATAAGAGCTGATTGACACTTTAATAAATCTGAATGTCTACCAAAACTTGTAAAGCAAACAGAAATCTATTAATCCACTAGTTTACTGATTAAATATCCATGTTGGTTGGCCTAACTACATATATAAGCATGCTATTCCTTTCTATGGACATATATACTGATTTGCACAGTTCACATGTTTTGTTTTGGATTTTGGTGCTTTTTTGGTCATGCAACAAAGAACCAATCAAAAAATAAGCCCCTCTTTTATGTTTATTTAAATGTAGCAGGTAAAATATTTCAGCATTTAATTAAATGTTTGGTTTAAATTGTCAGTTTGTCAGGAATATTTTAACTATTTTATCCTCTATTTTTAAGCAAAACTAAAAGTATATAAAATAATTTTGCTTAAGTATATTGTCTTTACTTCAGTATGTCTAATTACTTTTATATTTTCTGCCAATAATTAAAAACATAGCAATGTGGGTCTTTTTTCAAACATAGGGAACAATTAAACAAGTTTCAATGTGCAGTTACTATGGAAACTAGAATATCTTTAAAAGGGTTACAAATTAAAATGCCCTTTCTGCATCAATACATTTTTTAAAAAAAGTTTACAAAAATGTTAAAATTTTTAAAAAATCTACCAATGACAAAATTACTATGGGCATATTTTCATGCATGTCAAGATTTGTTTGAAAGACAATATAATCAATTATTCAAAGAAAAATGTAAACCTGTAATGGGTGTTGTAAAAATTAACTGGACAGATTTGTAATATAATACAAAGTATCTGACAGTGTTTCAAATCCAATTCAATTTGATTTTAAAGGGTGATTTTTAACCTTTAAATATACAGCATCATACACATATAACAATAATTCTCACTAGTTAGAAATCACTTTAATGGGATCAATACAAATTTATAGTGAACTATTATGAAGTACGAAAACCTCCAATTTTGTAAAATAAAGGTACAGAGAACTTTTGCTGTCATCCTCTTGCAATTGCTGGTTTTCCTCACAAAATCTAATCCCTTCATTCCCGTACTATAGTCGCGATGCCTAGGCGTAACGCCCAGTCGCGACCACCATTTTTATTTTTTTGACCATATTCTAATGACGCCGCTGATGACAAGTTAAGGACACAAGGTATGGTTCGACTAATTGCGTTATGGAACCACGTCTAAAACAGGGGTGCCCAACCTTGGCAATTTTAAGACTTGTGGACTTCAACTCCCAGAATTCGAATTCTGGAGTTGAAGTCCACAAGTCTTCAAGTTGTCAAAGTTGGACACCCCTGGTCTAAAAGGAACTCGACTCCGCCTCCCGAAAAGAAATAGAGGAAGCTAAACAGGAAGTAGGGCGGAGTTCTAGGAGCACAGTGCCCCTCCCCCTAAGTCCCACCCCGCCGGGCTCCTGTTTAGGAACACGTGCGGGCTCATTTCCCGCCACAACAGTCACGTGAGCGCCGCTCTCCAATTCTGGCGGCCCCAGGGCCTTTCCCGTCTGTCCCTACTAGCCAGGAGCCGGGCTCTAATTCTTGGTCTGCCGTTGCCTGAGGGTATCCGGTCTCCCGTGGCCAAGCTTCCTGCTCTCGCCGCGATGACACTCACCGGGCACGATTCGCTTTCGGCGCTTGTACTTGTAGGCTCGGCCTTTCCGTTCCCTCCTTTCGGCTGCCCGCGTTGCGTGCTCTAGTCTGGATTTCGTTATTCCTGTCTCCTTGACAACAAACGGCTGCATGCTTCGAAGAAGCTCGTGCGGTCCCGCAGCAACACTTACCTCCCCCCACCCCCGGCTCTCCGTTAACACAACCCCAGCCTAGAACGGCGGGCGGGCGGGCGGCATGGCAGCGCTCCTTGCCGTTGCTGTGCTCTAAGCGATCGTGGACCAGGAAGGGCGCGGTGTTTCCTAACGCTGTTATTCGGCGAAGTTTTAAAATAATGGAAGTTTTCGGGTTTTAAAAATCTAAATGTCTCTACCGATTATGCTTATACAAAGATTATTGAAAGAATCATAGAGCCCCCCCCTTTTTTTTTAAAAAAATGTAGATTTTATAACATATGCCAATCTTCCTCAGCTTGGTTCCAAATACGTTGGAACTGGAATTCTTAGAATCCAGTGTCCACATGCCCACCGGTATATACATTTCATTAGATGCATACTTTTTATGCCAAGATGTACACTATGCATTCGTGACTGGGAGCTAGAATAACTTGCTAAGTGAAACGAAATAAAATGCAAAACTGGACAATATATTATTTCGACATTTCAAAAGCAGCTGCTGAATGAATTGTGTTGAGTTGGCTCCACTATGAGAAGCTAGAACTCCTTGGTGTGGCAAATGCATTTATATTTGCATTCTATTAATTTTCTACTATATTCTTTCTCAAGCAGATTAAACAATTGGCATTTTGCCTCACAAGTACTTATTTTCTACTAAATACAGATGCAATCTTAACAAACACCCTGTCCCCTGCTGCTGTCCCCCTGCAACTGGTATTTGGAAGCACACTGCCTGTGCTCCAGAACTAACATTGAGTCTTCAAAACTAATTGCCTCTATCCTCTAAATTTATCCTTTAAATTTAAGTTTATCTGAATTTATCTGTTAAAGCCATCCAAGTTAGTGCCTGTCTCCATGTTTGTGATAATATTTTACAATATCATAGCCCAAGCTAAACAACACTTCGTATTATAAAATCTCAACACTGTATGTCTAGTCTACATATCAAAAATGCTTGCACATTAAACTAACAGAATATGCATAGTACTAATGATTATTTGTTCAAATATTATATAAACAATAATTTACTAAATATCTTAGTATATTTTGTAGAAATTTTTTTTGATTGATTTGTTTGTATGTGTACAAAATTCCTAAATATGTACCTATTCACCCATCCACCCACACATAAATAAATAATTTATGCCCTCACACATATATTCAACACATACTTTATAAGAACTAGAATTCCAGTATCCCCCTACAGTTCAAAAAAGCTTTCTTCACTGAAACCTGTTCCTCAACTAACCATGCCAGCTTTAAGAATGGGATGCATTTAGCTGCTGCCAGGTATTTCCAATAATCATAAATTATATAGAACAGAAGCACAGTCCATTTTCATTAGAACAGCTGCCATCTACTTAAGCCATTCTGTACATAAATGATCGGTTACATAAGTACTCATTCTCTCAAGTGCAGAAAAATTGGGGCATAGGCATATATGACCTACTAGTATGCTGTGGCAAATTTAAAATTTGCTAAACCACTGAAATACTTTATATTGGCTCGATAGATGGCATATAAAAAGATTTTCTATTTGGAGACACAAGTATTGAAATATAACTGTCAGCAGAATAGTTTTCAGTAATCTGATAGCAAATCTAGTCTTAAAAGGAATTAATACATTTAGAACAAATAAAGTACATTGTGTCAGTAATACACTTTTTTTTATAAAAAGTATTCCACTGTAGAAAAAAAGAATAGTGGCATTTCCACTGGTAAGAAAATAGCGACAATAACCTACATCTGGCATTTGGATTTCATAGATTTGTATTTATCATGTGGCATTTTTGATGTTATATGAGTATCATCTGTTGCTATATCCTGCTCTTCATCAATAAAGAACACAGATATCTCCATTAACGATCCACACATATCTAAATGAAGCAGAGCTAGACAGAAAACTCATGTAGCATAGTGTTTCTCAATAGAAAAGCTGTATAATTTTATTTATACGTCATATTTCTTAAGTGCCTATCTTCCTTGAAGAGGGTGCCTGAGCAGTGTACTATATCATCAATAAAATTAAATATTAATATGTTTCCTCTATAATATTTTCCAACTACAGCTATTTTATCATGCTTCCACTACCGATCTGGGTCAATTAGGTATTGATAAATAATAAAACAGCTTGTAAAACTGTTTCAGGGGAAAATAGATTTTTATTACAGATAATATTAGTAAAATTTCAAATGTCAATCTTTCTTTTCCCAAATACAAGATAGTAATGCTCCAATCAAAATCTGTTTTATTCATGTCCTATCTAGAGATACATTTAATTTTATTGCATTCTGTATGATACATATTTTCTCAATTTCATATAGGTATTGTTTTGCAAATGTCAAAATCCAAAACCACCTATCTTATCTAGAACTCTCTGAATATTGATGGAAGGAAAATTTGGACTAAAGAAACATTTTGAGCAGGAAATATGAATTTTATATTCCCACAGAAGGCCTTTGCTCTAAAACGCCTCATCCCAAAGCTGTTTCTTTTAAAAAAATTGTCAGGACTTATTTAAGCAATGTGTCTATTAATACTACTGTAGTACCCACAAGCAGTTTCCTGAATACTGTAGTAAATATATGGAATAAAAGGGTTTTAGGTATACGAAAAGCATTAGCACTCATAGTAGATCAGTTATTTCACTGAAAAAAACTTTTATTGGACACTAATATTTATAATCATTGGCTACCCTGCTTTATTAGAGAAGTATGGTTTTACCATGTTGAGCACAAGAACCTTGATGTTTTCTATGTACTAAAAATTTTGTTTAGCACAGAATAAGTTAAAGAAAGACAACGGTAAGAAAGATAATTTTAGTTACAGCTCTAATACCAATATTTAATATTGGTAATACCAATACCAATAATTTAATATTCTAATACCAATATTTAATATTCAATATTACAGCTCTAGTACCAATATATAATCCTATTTGTCAATTAATGGACAATTTATCTTTTGTCCACTGAATTAAAGTTTATTGATAGTCTTGTGCTTAAAACCTTTTCCAAAATGGTTAATGCATGTAATGATACCACAATTTTTATCCTGGGGAATGAAGGTAAGTTAAAGACTTATCAGTGTGATGGACATGTCACTGATTTTCACTTGCACAATTGTTGCAACAGACACTTGATTGTTGATTTTCTGTTCTCTTAATGAGTGTTTTATTCTAAACAATAATATGATGAACTATTTGCCATTAACTTTCTGGTTACAATTGGCTTATCTTCTCTGATGTAATAAAAATATTTGCAAGCCTTATCCTAGAGGACCTTAGTACTTCAAGGAAATCTTAGAATATGAATGTCAAAATCTGCGACCAGCCTATGTGAAATTGAACCCCCTCAACTATGTCAGTACTCCATGAGTTTTTGAAATATGCTGTGTTAGTACAGATCAGCTCAGTGATCTTGGAACATTTCAATGAAAACAGATAGACAACATGCTGTGCCTATATATATGTGGTGGGTTTAAGCAATGCATCAGTATTTCAGATATATAATCTTAAAACTCATAAATGAACATGAGCAGTAAGCAGAATAAAATGGTTATAAATATTGTATCAGTATAATACAGATTTTGAACTATCATGAAAAATATCCCATTTTCTAATACCTTTTTCAATATGATTGTTTTTCCCAATACATCAAATACTTGTTTATGTTCCAAACATATTATAAATATCTTTCCTTGAGAGTTAAGAGATATTTGAGAAAGAGGGAGGAAAGGAAAGAGAAAGATTAGTTTAAAAAAGTATAAAAGCTGGATTGGAAAAGTAGACATGCTGATTTATGCTGCCTTTTCTATTTTTAGAAAGTGAATTTTATATAAATTTTATATTTATATATATATATATATATTCACACACACACACACACACACACACACACACACACACACATATATATACACACACACACATATTCCTTATATTAATATCTATTTCAATCATTTTCCATGGGGCCAGAACAATTAATAAAAGGTTACTGACACAAAAGCAATGACAGGCAGGTTTAAAATTGGATTAAAATATCAAAGCCGGAACAGATACCATTTTTCCAGTTGAACCAGTCCTTACTCTGATGCTACCTGCCTTGGGCCTTTGAGAAATGCGGGAGAATTATGCCTGCCTTTTTACCCCATGGAATTGATAGCATGGATGAAGATAGTATGAGGCAAAAGGCCTCCCTCATGTTTATAATGGAAAACTACTCCACACACTATAACCTTATTTAGTTAAAAAGTGAGAACTAATTATCTGAAATACTCCTTATCAGTCTTTGGCAAATACGTGGACTGGTTTTGATATATTTTCAACTGGTTTATGAAATGCGTATTTTCACATCTTTCATTTAAGCTCTTTAAGTCATTTTTAGTTTTAGCAGCTAAAGGCAAAACCACAGTTCATTCACAATGAATATTACTAAGACAGTATTTATACGGATTTTTCTTAGTATCTCTTTAGAATAATTTTCCCAATCTAGGAAATCTCCACAAGTGTGAACTTCAGCTTTTTCAGAATGACTAAGTTAGCTAGGGAATTCAGATTCATTAGAGGAGACAGGAAATTTCTGGATAATGTAGAAGGATGTCTGCAAATGAATACAGAAAGTATTCTGTAGAAAGGGAGCAGGTCTGGCAGCATGTAACTTAGAGGACCAAGACATAGTGCATGTCCCTAGAACAACAATCAATTTCAGATCCTACTCTGAAAAAATGATTTCCAGACTTCTGGTGTTCACCTAGCATTATAGGGATGTGAAAGGAATAAACTACAAGAGTAAGGCATCTAATGGTGCTGCTAAGGGAAAAGGCATGTGATGAACGGCTTGTTGCTGAAAGGAAAAGAATCAGCTGTCTTCATATCAGGCACAATGTGAGAAGTGTGTTGCCTCCCATATGCTAAGGATAATATATGTGATCACTATT